GAATCTCAATTGGGATGGCATTCCATAGTCTCTGGGGGCAGCAGCCGAAAAGGCCCCTTGTCTACAAGCCATCCCTACAAGGGACGGCTCTTTATGGTGCTCTTAGCCCAAGTGCAGTGGGACTTAATTACTGTAATTAACTAATAAAAAATGGGTAATTAACTAATAAAAAAACGGGAAAAGCTGTTTAACAGCAGTTCTTTCTCTGGACAATGTTGTTGACCAGCAAGGAGAGAAAATACTTTTTGCACAGGTACAAGGGCACGCTTGTCTGGCTTACGTCAGTTGTTTCAGGAGCAGCCCTTCATCCAAATAGTAAACAGAGCACACCCTGAACTGTAAATGGTTCTGGAGACATTTCTCACCACAAAAACTTACCGTATACTTAATTGCTCAAACTTAATTGCAAAACAGAAAGCTGTGGGGATTCAGGGATGCCAGTGAGTTGCTTTGTTGTCATTCAAAACAAACTGGTTTGGAGAGCGGGACAACCAAGAAACAAACTAATAACATAGTTCCTGTAATTGCAGGATACAGTCTCACATCCTACTGGTGTTTCATGTAAGGTTTGTGTAACTTGTTGTGGCTCAGTAATGAAGTACTGGGACATCTCTCAGTCGCATGCCTGGTCAAACTCCCAGTTGCGCAACCGAGATGCACCTACGTCTCTCACCAAGTAGCTGTGGCAAATTAGGCAGACCTTACACAAACACCAATTACATTCTGGATGGAAACAGTTATTTAAATGGGATACAACGAGGGTTGTTCATAATTTTTCCCTTGACAGGGTTCCTGCACCAGTCATCGTTGTCAGCAGCAGCACCACAACGGGCTTAACTCACATACTTTCCTCCAACTTCATGAATATACAGTTACTGTAGAAGGAAGCAGAGCTTCACCAGCTGAATTTGTGCCTGCCAAGCAGCCCAGATACAACAAGCAAGCTTGCGAGACAACCTAATAAACAAAATCGAAGATGGAAGCACAAAGTCCAGAAAGAATACAGAAAGGGAAACAAGTCAAAACAAGGGAAAGGGACTGCTTGCTAATCGTCTTGGGCAATGCTCCTCTTTGTAGAAGGAGGGCCAGGAGTCATCCATGAGAGGTCAGGCCTTCTTCATGGTGGCACCAACTCTGTGGAATCAGCTCCCAATCATCTCCCTTCTTCATGGTGGCACCTGGCCTACTCCCTTCTAATGCCTAGAAACCATCTCAAAATGTTGAGGCCTTCCAGCATGACCCTGCTTGACTTCATGTCTCATGTCACACAGATAATATGCCTCTTGGTGCCCTTTGTTTTATTTCTTCGATGGCTTATTTATAATTTTATTGCTCCACATCTGTTTATTCTATCCAAGCCTGCTTATGTTATCGCACCCAGAATATTGCATCAGCATACAAATTAAATAAATGAGTAAGTTCTAAGAAGCAAAATGTGAAAATCCATGAAAATGTATTGCAGTGTTTTTTTTTCCCAAGCATGCTACCAGTAGACCTTCTTAGACATCCTTCAGTCTTGAGAGACTATGGTAACGTGCTCTGTATCGAGTACTTGGAACAGCGTCTAGTGTGGCTGAGGAGGCCAATTCAAGAGTGACAGTCCCTTCCACAATGGACAAATACAATCTGTCCCCTGTCCAGCTCCCTGATTTTGCTGCTTCCGGGACTGCCTCTTTGCCTCGGCCTGCTGGACAAGGGTCACTTCAGATTGGGAGAGGTCCTGATGCATCGCCTCCCTCCAGGCTGAAAGCTCAGACGTCAAGGTTTCCCATCTTTTGAGGTCCATTCCTAAGGTATTTAAATCCCACTTGCAGATCTCCTTGTATCGCAGCTGTGGTCTCCCTCTGGGGCGATTTCCCTGCATTAATTCTCCGTACAGGAGATCCTTTGGAATCTGACCATCAACCATTCTCACTACATGCCCAAACCAACAAAGACGTCGCTGTTTCAGTAATGTATACATGCTGAAAATTCCAGCTTGTTCTAGGACTACTCTGTTTGGACCTTTGTCCTGCCAGTTGATACAACCCAGTTGCGCAACCAAGATGCACCTATGTCTGTCATCAAGTAGCTGTGGCAGATTAGGCAGACCATACACAAACACCAGTGGACTATTAACATACAAGTTTATTTATTTGTTTGTTTGTTAACAGTTTTATAAGCTTACATGCCAGATGCCTTCCTGAATAAAAAGATCTTTTCCATTTGTGTGGCGAGCACAAGAATGGGGACAAACATTGCTTTTTGTAATCAGGCAGCTTCAGAGTATAGCAGCAACCACAGAGAAAAATGTGCTGTCATGCCGAAGCGAAACCATCATCCAGCTAGGGAGTTCCCAGTTGGTAAATGCCTGAGTCAGCCGGCCTGCCCACATAGTCTCTTACTCCATTTCTAGCTTCCATGAATGGGAACATCCTCAGCAGAATGGATGCCTGCGTTCTGCTGAATTAGCAGGAATACGCTAGAATGATCTCACTTCAATGAAACAGCTGTTCTATACCATTCTGCGTTGATCTTGTTTTGTTTTCCTGTCAGGCTGGCCTGTTTAAAACATGAGGATCCCCCTTTTTTCACATTTTGCTATTTATTTCTCAGCACAGACTAGAGGAAACAAGAGAGGAGAAGAAGATGGAAGTGGAGGAAGATGGAAGGATGACAGTATAAAACTGACATCATGCAGGCAACAGGGTTGCCAACAAGAAAAAAAAAGGATCTCGGTCTGATCCTGTAACCTAATCTGTTTGAATGGAAAGTTACAAAAAGACAGAGCTTTTGGCTCCAGACATAGAGATGGGGAATGTTGTTTTTTGGACTACAATTCCCAGGTCCCCACAGCAAGCATATCATTAGCATTCTAGCTGATGGGGAAGCTGTGGTCTGAAAAAGAAACAAATGGAGGGAACTAGATGGGCTTTGTAGTATGATTTTAGCTACCTTGTTGGCATGGGAGATACCATGAGTGGTTTCCTTGTCATGATACTATACACCTGATCCCACTATACCATCTGAAATGATCCATGATTAGCAGTCTTTCCATGTCACAGCAAAACTGGCAAGAAGTTGTGAGAAAATAGAGGGTGTTACACTATGCTTTCTTGCTTGAATTTCCATCCCAGCATGTTTCCTCAAAGCGATGGATGAACCTGCAGTGGGTTCCTCACTTCCTTCAGACATGATCCTCCTTCCCCTTGTCTGTTCTACTTTCAGTACCCAGTACGTCTCCGCTGCTGATTAACCATCCAGGATGTTCAAGTGAATGTTTTTATCAGATCCTTTTTCACCTACTTTCAAAATCATACTCTCCAGTCTTGCAGTGGATTTATCTGGCACTGAACTCTTTCCTTTTTTTTTCTGTCCAAGGTTCTGGACTTAATCTGATGATATACACTGCCCCGTGTTATTGACAGCCTCTTTACCACTCTCCAACGGTTCCACCTCTATATCACTTGTTGAGTATAGCAGCGTATCATTAGGGTGGCAGGTGATTACAGCAACTCACAGACCACCCATCGCCCTCACTGAAAACAAATGCCTTCCTTCCCCATTGGGAGATGCATAGTCCCACCACATTAGCACAGTAACGTGGCAGCTCCTAATGCAGACCTGGGCAAAGTGCGGCCCGAGGGCCATATACGGACCGCGAGCCGCTCCTGTCCAGCCCACCAATCATCACTCCAGTCCGGTGTTGAAGTCCAAGACAGACTGGATTTCTCTCACTGAATAAGTTGAACATCAAAACCATTTATAGCTTTTTTCCCCCTAAAGTTGATCAGTTGCTTATCTTTAAGTCAAAGACACATTAAATAGACGTAAGGAGAGACAACAAGGGAAAGACCTGCAATAGCAGAAGCAGCACTGTGTACATTTCCCCATTACTGTATTTCCCATCTCTAGCAAGGCAAGCCTCTCTGGGCAAAGGAACTCCACAGATGGGTTGCTAACCCTCAGAAGCCTCTGAGAGGAACAGGCAAATCTGTGCAACAGCAGCTTGAGATGCAGAAACCGGTAGACTGGCAGATGCTGAAAACTATCAACTACTGCCATAATGCTTCAGAACTTCCACATACAATCTGACTGGCCAGTGGATACTGAATTCTATAGAGTACCTGCTGGATTTATTGCACCTTCATATGATGCCCTTTTGAGGTTTTGGCTGGAAGGGAGCTGCAGCAAATGTCAATCAACTCAGTAACAGCCTATAGTCCCCTCTCTACCTCAGATTCTTTTTCCTGCCTTTTTTTTCCAGTCAGGGTTCAGTTAGTATTCTGTCAGCCTGTGAGAGTTATGAAGTGTTGTGTCAGCAACGTAACCAGTAAGATGGTCAATAATGAAGTAAATTAAGCAGCTAAGTTCAGTAGTATGACAAGTTAACATTTCCACATAATATGGTGCTTGTTTTTATATAAGAACTGTGACTATAATGCAACTTTTTATTCTTCTTTAGAGATGGGCACATCTCTTAACACCTCTTTGACCAAACTCCGGGAGGCAGTGGAAGACGTGCTTTGGTCCATGGGGTCACAAAGAGTTGGAAATGACTTAACAACTAAACAACAACAAGAGATGGGCACAAACTGGTTTGGGTATTTGGCTACACAGCTGTTCCACAGGCGCCTCAGCTTCCCTTGCCCTTCCTCCTTTCAGGCCTGCTTCCTACAGACATTGCCTCTGACTGGACACCTGACAGAGGAGGCACAGCAAATGAATTCAGGGTGTCCACAAAACAGCTGGGCAGCCAAACCACCAAATCACACCGAACCACAGTTTGTGCCCATCTCTATTCTTATTCGCAAAGAGTCTCTGAGTGAATGTATTGGAACAAATAAGTGCCAGCTGAAGAAAACTAACAAAAAAGGGTTAAGGGAGAATGTAGTTCAATCTACTCTGAAGGTTCCTGCCAAAACCATTTTTATCTGTTCCATAATAAAAGAGCGTTCATTATTATTATTACGAATAAAGGCCACACTTGATTTTTCCTCACACCAAATTCTGCAAACCAGATCAATCAGACTATTCCTGTTCACTTACTCTTTTTAAGAAGCACCGACCGAGAAGCTCTGGATTCTCAATGCAATTTTCTAGCTCTTTGAGGAAGATTCTAGAATGGAGATGGAAGAGAAATGAGAGAAGAAATATTTGATTTGTTATATTGTATATTGCAGTTACATCGTTATCTTGGCTGAGACTGGAACACCTCCAAGCAAAAAACACCAAAGGAAAGCCAATGGTACATAGTTTAAAGTGCTTTATGGCACATTTGGAAAATATTTCTGGCCTACAACTGTGGGAAGTGATATTATCATCTACTCAGAGAAGATAACCATGCTGAAAGGTGAGAAAGGTTTGGTTTTTCTGGACGACAATATCCAGAACCCCACAGTCATCGTGGCTAGCAGCAACGCTGGTTATGGGACTGAGGAACTGCAGTTTCCCCTCCCCCAAAATGGTTCATGTCCTACTATCAAATTATCTGTATGCATGGAAACAAAAAGTAAGCTGCCAGATATATAATAATTATAATCTTAGAACTGCAGAACTGGAAGGGACGCTACGGATCGAGTCCAATCCCTGTCAAGCTTTCTTATGAGGTCTCTGAAACGCAGGGATTAACACATTCCAGTCAAATAGCTAGCAGTAGTATCTGCATTACCACATCCTCAGAAATGATTACATCTTAATTATAGTGACACTTCACAGGATTTTCCAGGTACAGACTACTCAGAAGTAGCATACTAGTCCGGTTTTTTTTTTGTTGGTAGCAGTATGAAAGACTCTGGGGAAAGCACAGGAGAGTCACAAATATAACACCACCATGTCTGGATCCTCTCCAACCCAGTACAGTAGAAGTCTGGGTTTGAGGTAACCTGATGGCATAATGAAAGCTTTGCCCAGGATCACCCACAGCCCATGGTTCTAGCTACGATCATTAGAGGGTAGCATGTGGACTGGGACTTACAACTCAGTGTCTGCAAGACACTGGGAAAATAGATTAAAAGCTGCAGACGCAAGATATCATAGTGTTTTGAAATATCTGTTTTAAAATGTTCATGTACAGTCATGCGCAGCGTCCAGCCAACCTGTTATGAAATTCGTAGATTTCTGTGAGGTTTCCGAAAAGAACTTCTCTCTTGTTCAAAACTGGTGTTGGGATCAAGTGAATTAAATCAGGATTGTCCATTTCTGATGCATAGCCCTGTTTAAAAAAATAGTGTGGAGAGAATGAAAGACTTAAAATATAATTTGGTATCGCTTCCCCTCCCCCTCCAATTAAAAAACAACAATTGACCATAGAGGCAATGAGAAGTTCATTCTCTTGGTCTACTTCATTTATTTGTTTTACAATACTCCTTCACCTCAAAATGAAGTGTTCATTTTGTGCTTAAACTAGATCATCCTACATAGTGTAACTTCAAAACTCTTGTGTTAAAGGAACATGAAGTGTGGAACTCTGCAACACAAAAATACACACATTCAAGAGTTCCTTCAGATGAAGCATTTGTACTCCATACTGCACACAGTTCCCCACTGATGCTATTTCCCCCCTGCCCTGTAAGTGATAAAAGCTTGATCTGATATTTTTGCCGAGAATTCTTGTGACTTTGCATTTTTATTTTATTTTACTTTACTTTGGTCTTCTGAAAGCATGGTTTATTTTTGCTTTGGTTGAGGCTGAGTTCATGAAATTGTACACCTCACACTCATGTCTCTGGTTACAGCTTCCCAGATGAATTTTTTTCAGTTTCTAATCATTGGCACAGGAAGAACATACACACACATGTATTTCCATAAGAGAAACTCTGAGAGGGGTTGCTTTTATCACAAATTAAAAAAAATTCTATACAAACTATCCCACAAAAAGTGGATACCAAAACTATAAATACTCAACTATCCAACAAACTGCACAAGAGCACAGACAGAGTTCTGACTCCTGTCCTCTAAAGATGCTGGCTACAGAGACTGGCGAAACGTTAGGAAGAAAAACCTTAAGAGCACAGCCAAACAACCTGAAAAACCAACAACATCCACAAGATTTCTATAATTTATGAATTTTTATTTTTCAGGAGACCCGCATTTTCTGAGAAGGCACTTTTAAAATTTGGACATCTGTTCTGGTAAATCCTTTGGGACGGTCAGGAACAAACCGGGGGGGGAAGGGTGCAACATTCCCCCCCCCATGTGGAAGAGGCCTGAATGGACCTACGCTGTGATGTAGGTGCTGCGGGGGGGGGGGGAGTGGAAAACATGATTATTTTAATTCCAAGGATGCTTTGCTGATATTATTGGTGGTGTTTGATGGAATATCAGATATCCTTGTTTACAGAATCAACAAAGTTCCTCAAATCCTAGTTTGAAGCATAGATGTCCCTTGATGCGCTGAGCCCAAATCCAGCTACCACACTTCTGGATCATATTTTGAAAACATGATGTGGCAGCTGCTTGTGCAAAGTGCTGACCAGCTGCCACCTGTGAGATCAACCATGGATCTCCCTCCAATCCTTAGAGCAATTCATTATAATGTTATGCATTTTAAAAAAATATTTATGAAAAATAATTTATGAAAACAATAAAGAAGTGGGTGCAGGCACCAACACTCCTGCAGCAGTTTCTAAAAATAAAAGCTGGACAGCTGGATTGAACCTGGGGTCAGTGAGTGGTGGGAGGGCACCCTAATAGCCAACATTCAGTTTGAAAGTTTGCATTGACATCATTTCAGCTGGGACGAAGCCCCTGTAGCCAAGCAATCTGCTCTTGTGAAAGTGCTCTTAGATTCTCTCTGACATCTGTTTCAGCAGACGCTCAACTTACCTCTATTATGCTTTGCAGCTCCTCTACGTAAACCCGCTCTGTTTCTATCAGTTCATTTATTATATGGCTGGAGAAAAGAGAAAAAGAGGCACATGTAGTCTTTCCTACAAAATTGCTTATCTTTTTAAGCACGTTACTTTGGAGGGGGGAAATCATGTAAATTGAAGATCAACTGCTCCACAACCTGGAAGGGATTAATACTACCTGTCAGACCGTCTCACTGTGTATCAGAACAGGTTTGTACCATTTTACTACAGGGGAAAAACTGAACGTATTCATCTCATCAATACATCATAGGCACTACTTACAGCAATACCTCTTAAAAGGATTCTCTTGAACCTTTTTGGAATAGGCAAACAGAGCTATGGTTACTATTAATTTAATGAGTATTATCAGTGTTCTTGGTAGTTCACAGGATAAGACATGCAAAGGATAGGTATTTGACCCATAGATGGCCAGCAACCAGGGCAGTGAAGAACCCCCCCTCCCCAAACAAACCAGACAACCCCAAGGCAAAGGTGATACCTTTATTAGACCACTATCAACCATTGCAGCGACAGTTAAGCCTGTAAGCATCCTTCTGCTGCGGCTTTTGCAACTCACAGCAAGAGTGACTCTGTCCATTAAACCAGGACAGAGATGCAACCAACTTTCTCACAGTTAATTCCTTGTGTCAATCACATGCCATAGCCACCGCCCCATGGCCCTGATTCTTTCACAGTTAAGTCACTTCAGCACAGGGTTTTAAGAAGGTTCTTTGCTATGTTTGCTGTAACAGAGCCTCATAGCCGTCCCTCTGGAAGCTGTCCTAAGTACACAACCGGCCATGCCGACAATGTTGATAGATATGCTATGCAGAGATTCCAGGGGTGAGATTTTGGACTCATGAGGAAGTGAAAGAGTCAAAAGGCCATGGCATTTCTGAGGGACAGGATCAGGCTTGCTGGTCTAGATTGGTGAAGGTCAGGTAGGAGACCAAGGAAAAAGGAGTTATCCACCCATTCCTTCTGCTCTGATTATTAAAAAAATTATAATAATGCCACATTAGAGCAGGGGTGGGCAAAATATGACCCTCAGAATACTGCTGAACTGCAGCTGCTAGCGTTTGCTCATCACTTGCTACCTAGGGCTAATGGGACCTGTAGTCCACAGCATCTGGATGGGGCACTTTGCTCACCAATGCGTTAGAACCTGCACTAAACCAAAAGAGTAGGGTGTCCAGTGATGTTACAGAGAGAGCAAGAGAGCTGGGTCACCCTCAGCTGCCTCACCATAGTATGGAGGTGACCCTGGGCTCCCAAACACTATGCCACTAGAAAGAAAGGTTCCCTCAAGCGGGTAAGACTTTTAGTTCAGCCCTGGCGGTGGACTGGGCGTCTGCCATCCGAAGCCCGGGGGGGGGGACCCCTAAGAGAGAGGAAGTGGAGTGTCCGACAGAACCGGAGAAAGAGAAGGAACAAAAGAGGGGAGAAGGCCTGCTGACCAGCGTTAGAGACCTCTGGGAATGAGGGGTTTCTGGAGTGTGCGAAGAACCAAAGGAGGACCCTGAGGAAGTGATTTGGGGAGATGTCCAGGAAGAATGACCAGGGAACTATGGGGCAGAGGACCCCTGAGAAGCAATCGTCATTGGGGTGGCACCAGCAGCAACATCTTCTTCACCTAACTTTCTCCTCATCCCCAGTCAGTCTATGCAGCCCGGAGGAAGTGTGGAGACCTCTGGTGAGTCGCCTGCTTGTGAAGGAAGGAAGGATTTTTTAAAAAGAAATTAAGCCCAAAAATAGACTTAAAAAACAATTCTCTGACATCTGAAACAAACAGAAACAAAACGACCCATGCTTTCTTAGAGGAGGAGACAAACTAGCCTGTGAAGTCACAAACGTCAGGGCAGCAAAATGCAATGAACAAACAAAAAATAAACAGTAACAAACTGGGTGCTTTTCAGAGAAGGTGCACTGCACCTAAAAAAAGCCCTTCGATGAAATTGGGACCTCCACAATGACTCAGGTTTAAGTTTTGACAGAAGGAAGGCATGGGCAGGGGAGAGAGAGACCTGCTTCACGAATACAGCCTTCGCGAATACAGAGACCTGCTTCTTTTCCCTAATGGAGCTAAAAGCCATTGGAAAGTGACTATTCTTTTGCAAGAGGATAGTCACGGGGCACTGACTTGCAGATGTAAAACTAGTGGAGAGAAAGGATTTTCTAGGAATCTGGTCAAAAGATACAGCCTTCATGGGGAAACTGCACCTGGTTGAAGTCAGTGTAGAACTGGAGCCGTATCATCCACCGCTCTGCATTCAAAAAGGATATTCAGATGACGATTGAAATGTCTAACACTCATTATTTTCCATTTGGTTTCTCAGCAATACCAGACAGCTAAACGAAAAGGATATGGTTTTCTTTTAACCTCCAGTAAGGGCCACCCATCCTCATTCAGATTACAAAGGTGGTGCATTTTAAGAAGCCAGATCTCTGAGAATCCCCATAGCAAGGATTCGTAGCAGCAAGTATTTTTCCAGGGATGGATGTTTGATGAAAACAACACCTACTGACAACACAACAAAAACTTCTGAAAAATAGCCCCCTTTCACCCACCTTTCTTACTCTCTCCTTCTGCCTCTCTGAGCATTCCTCTGTCTCGTGGCACAGTGGCTAAACTGCTATATGACCCAGGGTTCAATGCCAGGTAGCTGGCTCAAGTTGAGTCAGCCCTTCTGTCCTTCCGAGGTCGGTAAAATGAGAGCCCAGCTCGCTTGGGGGGGATGTGTAGCCTGCAGAATTAACTTGCAAACCACCCAGAAAGTGTTTTAAGTGCTATGGGGTGGTATATAACAGCACACTTTGCTTTATCTCCCTTCCCCCAGAGTTTACACTTCAGTTTCAAGCAGGACCTTATGGAAGAGTAGCTTCAGTGTTTCTTAAGCAGATTTGATCAAACTGTTTAGACATGTTCGACACGTGCAAAAGCCGGGTCTGCTACAAATGACAAAAAAGATTTTTTATGGGCATACCAGAAGGATTACATAAGCTTCTAATTATGTCTCACAACAGCCAGAATTACTGACTCTGTTTTGCAGGGTGGTGAAATCTGCATACACTTTTAAGGTGTGATATAGGAATTCGGTGATCCCTATGGAATGCCAAGTGAATGATACAAATGCAGGAAAAACCCAAAACAATATATTTAAAAAACCCCCAAACAACAACAACAACAAAAAAACAAATAGCAAGCTTTCAACGATAAATCATCTTCAAGGCTGTGCATTAAGTTCTTATGGGCAATTCCAAACTTATGTGCTGTTCTTAATGTCCTAAATCTACATGGATGATGGTGTAGAAGCCAGGCAAAGCTTCTTAGATGAAAACAGCTGCAGTGCGCATGTTGGCTTCAAGCTCTTCTTCAGCTAGCAATTTGGAATTTATGACCCATCTCTTCAAACAGAGGAGTTACAGGCAACCTCCCCCTTCTCCCTCCTTGAAACTCGGAAGAGTTTCTAGTTAGCCGGGGAGGGAAGGCTGCCCAATTAACATGACCTGCCTCTAACAGAGTTGAGATTAGGAATTTAGTTAATGAGTTTCATTGCAAGAGAGCAAGGACGCAGGAAGTGTTGTTGATAGGATGGGCACTCTACACACACCCACACTCCAATTTAGCCACCCAAGCTACAGGCCCTCCTCCTATATTGTAGAGTGATGCAGAAGGCTTTCCCTCAAACAACGAAACAATAATAGTGGGGGAAACCTCATGTCTGTGTGTGAGGCACGCTGTTGAAGGAATGAGAGAAAGAAGTCACACGTATCGCGCCTTGCAGACTTAATGCAGCAACAGATGCTACCAACAATTCATTATTAAAAAAGGGAAATCCTTCAGGGTTGTTTGTGTGTGAAAGTCACAGCAGAAACTTTTCTCACCTCTCAGAGTTTCTCAGTTAGTTTTTTTTTTTTTTTTGGTTCTAATTGGTCTTCAAGAGGCAAGCACAGCAGCTATTTCTCAACTGGAAAGTCTGCTTCAACCACCTCTCTCCAACACTACTACGCTTTCATCTCTGACAGATTATCTGCAATGTCTGGTTTTACTCTCAAATGAAACATGACTCTGTTTCTAACACAGCATCCAGAGTGAAACCCCCGTAGGTGCTTACAGCCATAGTATAAATACTGTAGTGGCTTTCGGATAAAACTATTATAGGCTGCATTTTTTATGGAAGACAGAAGAAAAACACCACCAACGAGCAACTCTACTTAAGATCAGGTTCAACCTGATCTTTCAAGGCAAACATCACGAACTCTTATGAAGTTATTTCCCGTACGGTATCATATGAATCAAATATGTAAAAAGGCTCCCACTCCATGCTCCATTTCTGATCATCTGAGCATCATGCTAGCAGACACAAGCACATTATTAATGCAAATATTAAAGATATTATGTAGAAGCCTCAGTGAAACAGAGTTACTCCTGGCAAACTAGAAAATAAGAAAGAAGGGCGAGCAGTTGAAGAAAACTGAGTTTCTGTCAAAGGCCCGACAGAACCAAGGGTGGCAGGTTTTGTATACATACCAGTCAGACACAGATGTGGTGTCCAGGCTGAGCGATATCTGAGATGTTCTACGCAAGGAGAACATCTGCCATCACATCCCTATGTATGCTTGGTCTGCAGCTGTCAAGGGGTTGTGACCTTTCTCTTTCCAAAATGAGAGGAGCAAAGGAGTGTAACCTGGTACCTCTTTATGGGATATCATGTTCACCTGCTGATAACTAGTACTGTCATCACCAGTAGAGAGCAAAAATATTCATTGCTTACAGCATATATCTTCTTGTCTCCACCTTTCCAAAATCGCAAGGCAATTTAAATACCAACATTACAACCAAATGGTCAAACAACAGAAGCAGGCTGCATAAGTATGTCACCATGAAAATAATTATACAATTTCCAGTTGCTCTACCAAGTCTTTCTCACAGCTAACCAAAATAAGTAAGTAAGTAAGTAAGTAAGTAAGTAAGTAAGTAAGTAAGTAAGTAAGTAAGTAAGTAAGTAAGTAAGTAAGTAAGTAAGTAAGTAAGTAAGTA